GTAACTAAATAAATTCTTCAGTTTTGTGTGAAAACGAACATAATGAACGCATTACAGCTTGTTCCACAATCCTGGTGCGAAATTGAATATAAGAGGTTCCCGGAAATTCAATAACCATAAGTTTACAACGCATACATAAGAACTATACAATTCGAGAGCCCTACAGCACACTAACACAAATGTATTCCTGTAATGTTTTGCCTGACCAAAATCGGACTTCCTCAGTCAATCATAATTTATTAGGTAGATTACGAAAAATATGGCATACACGTAACCAACAACAAAAAATACTTTAATTGTGTGACAGGAGTCGGGAGTGACCTCGAAAGCAGCGACACCAACAACGCTGATTCACATTTGAGAATAAATTTTATGTAATAACCACAAGCAGTTTACAACAAGAACAGCATAAAAAGCTACATCCATTTTATAGAAGCTATCAAGTATCAAACGTATTTATTTTTAAGCAATGAAGTCACAAATTAACATCGTGAGCACGAAAACACAAATAAATCAGTTATTTCTCACTTAGAAATTTACCGCAAAAGTCAAGAAAATTAAATGAATGTACAATATGTACATAACATAGTGAACAGAAATATTACAATTTACAATTAATCTTTTTTTAGTTTATGTGGTTATGTATTTGAACAAAGGCAATAATATATTTTTAGAAACAGGACTACGACACTAACAAATGTCCGAAACAACAAACAAATGTATGATACTTATTAAATCAACTGTAATATCTAATTCACTTTCTTCTGAATTGTTTTCGAAATCCACTATCTCAAAAATCGACTTTTCCTCTATAGGTGTACTGTGATTTCTGCAGTCAATACAAAAACAAAAATCTGTGCAATTTAAGTTGATTTTGACACACTTTCATAAATTATTTTGACTATTTTTCTTTGCAGTTTGCCAACTCAAGAACTGATTTGAGGGCACATGCTTCTTCAGTGAATCATTGTTGGGTGAAGAGTATAATCCTTATGTTTGACAGTGTTAAATAGACGTGCCCTGGTATCATTTACATTCTTCATATCCTCTTCAAATTCCTCAGCTTTATTTATTAATACCTCGTTAACCTCGAAAGATCTTCATAGTCGAGGGAAAAAAATGAATTGAAAATCTCAATGAAGTCTCCAACATGAATTTGATGGGCAGTTCCAATTGCAGAAAAGTGCTAAAGTATTTCAATATGAATAGCCCATCTAAGCTGTTTGCAACTATTATGATTCTCATATACCTTTAAGCTTCAAGACTTCTTGTTTAATCCATTTTATAGCACTGATAGCAGCAGGGATCAGAGCCTGCGTTAGGTCGGATTGGTGGAACATTGCGTTTTCTTTTGTAGTACAGTATCTAAAATAAGGAAGAAAATAATATTTGGAGCAGCATGATTTTAAAAATACCCCTAAATACTAACTAATACCTTGAATACATAATGCATTTTATCTGATGTACTAAATGAGCGTATATATGCTCATTGCATGTTCTAAAGTCCAGCAGTGTTTGCATACCATTACTAGACTATATCTACACTAAATTTTGATATATCACAGTCTGAAATGTCCTATGACAGTATGAGTATGGACTATAGACTATATTTTGAAACATCAACTGTTTGTCTACAACTTCATTTCTCACCTCTCAATCATTTCCAATGCTACCTTTCTTTCCACTCCGGCATAACTTATCATTGCTTCCCAGGTTCTTGTCGACTCTATGAATTTAGATTTAGACCAACCGACATTAGTAAAATTGATTAATTTCTTCTCTTTCACACAACCGTGCATTACAGAAACAGCCATTCATTTCTATTTCCAAATATGCTGTGGCCTATATAGTAGTATAAGTCTGCTGAATAGTCAAGAAGAGTCATTAAATTAATCATAAACATTTCATGCAAGCCAGAAAATATCGTTGTTTGTGACATATTATTCTAGGTCTACCCTTCCTTGGAGTTACCGCACCGTACCGGTACCTATTTAACAACGTCTTATGAGCTAGTGCTCAACTAAAATTGCTATTTATGGCAAGGATATACAAGTGTTTAATATCTTACCTATACTTTTCAACACCTCCTTAGAATAACTGGACTAATATTACCGGTAACTGAAAAAAACTATGGAAAGGCTACTCAACGCAAAAGCGAGCAGTTGAGTACATCTGATATTCATCCGACCACTGGGGATCCACCTACAGCTGACTAACTTGACTGTTACGTCGTGCAGAAGTCTGCGTTCATTGGCCCATGATACCGGAAAAGCAGAGAAAATAGGACAGATGGTAACACATATTTATTGTAGTAAAAGCGTCTTTTCTGTAAAACGTGCAACTTTTGGAAGTGGGAACAAGGCAATATTTGTTACTAAATTTCTAAGGAACATTTTAAAATCATTTTCAGGTAGTTACCTGATGTGCGCTACGAAACTGAAAGATAAATGGCCTCGGCTCGCGGCCTATCTTGCTGATTGACCAAAGTTACGAAATTAATAAGGAAGTGTTTCCGAGGGGAAATATTCTTTGAAAAAAAAAACGTTGCCACTTTTTCGTGTTATTGCGGGACAGATGAAAGAACGTCACGGGCCGGATCTGGCTCGCGGGCCGTAGTTTGGTGACCTCTAATCTAGGTAATAAAATCGTGAGCAGGTTTATGTCAATTATAGGGTCTATTGATAAAATCATATAAAATACAATAGTTAATATGCAAAAAATACCCTATTGCTTACCTTAGGCTTAGAGACCCAACATTTGGATTTTCCAGGGCATCAACTTTTTTGTTTATCATCTTAACCATAACAAATCAGAAATAGGTTGACAATGACGTAACAATTGCAGTTTTTGCAGCCTCTCAGACAGATGTTCAAGCAGGCCATGTTTCCATAGTTTTGCGTGTTATTTGTCAGTTTTGTTTTAAAAAATAGTTGCGTGACTTAATTGTTATCGAGTTTAAGTAGAAAAATGTACGGTTATCAGTATCACATACTAAAGCGGCACCATGTATTGTATATATTCAATTGTAAAATATTGCTGTCCGCTTGATATTGCTCTTTTTGGTTTTTGATGTTTTTAAATTTTTTATGTAGATGTCAATTTGACGGCATTGTGTTGGATGTACATTCTAGTTCAATAATCCTACCACTATTGTGCCAAGAGTTTTAAGTCCGACCAATCATGAGGATTTTGTAATTGGTAAAATTGCTGGCTTTTTTGTGTCTTGATCTGGCTTTTTTGATCACTGGCATCTGGCAACGCTGCTTGTAAGCTGCGAGCAGGTGTATTTTGAGTGTGTAGATCTGTATTGAATTCTTAAGTTAAATCTGTTTTAATCTATCTGTTTGGGGATTGAACAGTACAATTTGGCGACGAGTATAATAAAAGACATCGTGTAGAACAAGTATATGGGATCTTTTCAGAAATCGCATATACAAACCAAAAAAGTAGAGAATATACTTTACCAATTTTATACAGTTAAATAAACTATTTTTTATGCTTTGAAGCTACTTGCACACGTACTCTTCGTTAATTTCCACCAGTATAAATATTTATCCCCATAACAAATCACGGCTTTTCTTTGTGATTAAATTCATTTCAAATAATCCAAATTCTTTATCCATGAAAACGTAAATTTTCTATTGTAGTCCTTCATTTCATTTTCGAATGTCGACCTCAACTCCAGCCACATTGCAATTGCTTAAAAAATTCATTGAGTTAACACATGGACACAAACGCATTTGTTGGCAATTAATTAGTCGCAAGAATTACCCCTTTTTTATGTTTGAGGTTGTTAGGGACAATTGCAATATTAGAATACGGACGGAATTTATTTTTTCGTCAAACCAGAAAACATATTGATGATACAAATAACAAATATATAATAATAAAACACATAATACAGTTTTTGGTATATGACTGGGTGATAACGATAAGACCATATTACGGTCATCTCGGTCAGTTACCACCAAATGCAAATACTTGAATAAATAAATTGAGACGGGTTATGTTATGTCACAGAAAAGATTTTGCTACACTGTGTTGAATGAATCAGAAGACTCAAAGGTTCCGGATTGGTTGTTTATTGTACGGCAACTCCAAAGCATATACAACAGTCAAACAGAATAAACAAAACATACCTAACGAACTGAAAACACATCCGACCGCCAGTGCGGCAGTCGGAGAAAAAAAGAGACCGAAAGACAGTTTTTGCCTCACATGTAGTGAGTGGTCGGAGGTCAAATCCGACAAAACAGCATTAAAATAAGGGTCAACATAACAGTCTATAAACAGAAAAATATATATATGTACACAACATAAACGCGGACAGTTGGACACTTTAGTCCGCGACAGTTACATTAATCTCTCGGTATATGTTAATAAATTATATACATGGCGATGCAATGGCGACCGTACTAATGTCGGTTCAACATGGCGGAACTGGAATTGATCTTTTGAGTATTTCAAACAACAACAAATTCAGCGTAGAAACAGCTGTACTTTTGTTTCATGCGTGTCCACAAGTTCAAGAAATATTCGATGCTTTGACAAATACTGTTACGGTGACAACTACAATGATGTAGTGAAAAAGGTTAGCGAATATTTTATACCTCGGTCAAACGTTTTGTTTGAGAGTCATGTTTTCAGTTGGATGTTGCAGAATGAAGGCGAAACAATATATTAATATGTAACCAAATTACGGCAAAAAGCTGGAACCTAGCTGGAGTTACGACGAATTCTGCTGGGAAAAGGTGGGAAACTAACTCTTAAATGGGGTTTACCGCGGAAAATTTGTTTTGATGAATTTGATCCTATATATTTTTTCAGAATTTTTGACGATCATTATTTACATAAAGTCGACTTAGTTTTCTACTTATGAATTTTCAAAAACCGCTCCAACGAAAATAGACCGCAGTTAGGAAATTGCGGTTGATGACTTAGTAATGAGGACTTATTCTAGAACTTGCCTTCATCGCGCATTCGCGGGTAGGGTATTCAATCTCTGCTTTTGGCATTTAATACTAGTTTCTCATCGCTGAGTTTCATAAAAGATTGAAACAATGTAATTATTGTAATGTAATACAGAAATGCTAATACGTAGAAAGCTCCGACTGTAAGGGCATCAAGCAATGGTGTTTTATGTAAAGAACGTGCTTACACCGACCGTCTGTCAATAGGCTTCGAGGAACTGATTATAGAGTAAGTTGTTACCACTTTATTTCGTTTTATCAATTTAATTTGTCTAATTTATATGTTCCTGGTCACACTGCTATTAACAGCACAGCCCAGCTGTCATCAAATGCATTAGTCCGCAAATTTGGATCGCGAGACCTTCCCCTCTGGGTCGCAAAACTATTTAAACTTGCCATGAATATAAGATATTTAATTCAAGAGTCTTGCTGCACACTTACACAAATGTATTTCTGCAACGTTTCGCCTGACCGAGGTCAGACTTCCTCAGACAAGCATTTTACTACAATATAAGCATTGCGTTCGTGTACGGTGTTTATGTACTACAGCTCTGTAAACCTCTGATTGAACCATTGTTATTAGCCTACTACTTAGTCAATTGCATTGTTTCGTAGCAATACGAGGTTATCAGCAACTGGTGGAATTGCTTGGTAAGTAGTGTTTTGTTTTTTATCAATTCTAATATAACAGTCAGGTTTGGAACAAGGGCTCCATAAATCAAAATTTTAGTGTAGGCCCATCCTTTGTATTTTTTATTGAAATATCCTGTGAAACGACGCCAGACTGCTGGGTTTTGGGATGGGGTGGCCAATTCGAATATTGTTTTTCATGTGCATGAGAATACCGAATACTGCACAGTTTGCACAAATTCCAGCGCCGCGTTCACATTTAAATTAAAAAATTACTTTTTTTTATCGTAGTCGAAAACAGACTTGTGTGGCGCGACAATAAATTAAGGACTTCAATCAGCGCCGACAGGAAGTGCTCATAACGCGTCGAGGGTGTTTTTGATTTAAAATATTTCACAAATATTATTGTGTATTCAACTTAATCCTGATAGTTTGTGCGGCCACAGCAATAAACCTAAAAGCAAATTGTAAAGAAATTAATTGTTTTCATCCTCACTTGCGATAGTTTTGCCTTCCTTGCAATTCACAGCGTATTAAATAGCTCCTAAATATTACTTATTACTTAGTATGGCGGATTTTATCTTATCCCAGCGTCGCTGGTGAAAATATCGTCCAGTTTAAGTTGGCGGTATCAATTTATAAGCGCGAATAAAATCATAACAACCGACATTAAAGATTTAGAACAGCGCCGACGACTTTCGGTCTTAATTTTCCGCCATAGGATGATAGAATTTAGGGAATCGGGTTCACTAAGTTGATTATGACGTTGGTCGCGTAATAACATTTGCGTTATTTCTGGATCAACGAATGGTGGAGCGAGCAAAATAAAATTTAAATCCGTGCTAGCACAAACTCTTGCGTGGAACGATAATTGAGGCGGAATTTAGCTTAAAGGTGGACTAAATACCACTCACGCTGACTGTACGATAAACAGTCAGCATTTGTAACAAAAATTATCGTTATCAAAAAGTGTGTGTGCTGTTAAGAACTTTTGATGTAGAATTTGAAACATTTCACAGGACGAATAGTTGCTTTCTTTTCGTTTCTCCCGCAGTATGTGTACCAGGTTAGGGTTAAGCCATAATATTTTCTATTTTAGTTTTTTTTATACGCGTCGGGGACTGTCCTTGTTAGTCAATTGGATATACCCCCTGCCCATAGGTTTCAGCTCATTCACAACTTGATGTAAAGTAGGCGAACCCCCTGCCCATAGGTTGCAGCTCATTCACAACTTGATGTAAAGTAGGCAAACCCCCTGCCCATAGGTTTCAGCTCATTCACAACTTGATGTAAAGTAGGCGAACAAAATTAGTTACCTTCATATCGGTATAGACATACTTCTGGATCGCCCTTTCTTCTGTGATTGCCAAGATACACCACAATTCATAGGTGTGAATACTGTATGTTTATCATGTCTATTTTCTTATATGCATGAAAACCACTAATTTCAATATTATCGCACATTTCATTTGTATTCATAGCTGCTTTACAATAATGATATTATTAAGCTTAATTTCCATGCCCATGGATTTTTGAAAAGTGATAAAAATATGTGGGGGACTTTAGAATGTATTCAAAATAGTCAAGTATTCGGTTATTGCCATCCCTGGCTCTGGCACGTTTCCACGGTGTAGAAGTGTAAGAAAAAAATCTTGCTTTCACTTTCATCGCGTAACTTTATCCCCAAGTTAGTACCCACATAAGAAATTAACAGGAATGTTTGTCAGAGATATCAGGTGGACGCTTTGAGTAAAAAAGGCAATAAAAAACATGAAACATAGCTAACGATCCTGCTACAATCCAAAATCAGTTGGATCAGGTGCCCGCTCACCGCTTAAATTTGGCAAAACACGTGCGTCGACGCAATAATGGATCAGGGCCGGATTTAATTTTAGACGACGATTTAAAATGAATAATAGGTCAAATATCATTGTCAAGGCTCTCGAGGTTTGATGTCCATAGGCTTCAGATTATCCTGTCTAAAGGTATATCCGGCCTTAGTCCAAATCCCATCAGTGATGTGACAATGTGCAAGAGGATTGCTGGACTCCTCGCCATCACGGAAAGACTTGTCGGTTGCGTGTTCCACCGCCGACCACCGCGTCCGTTTGCGGACGCCTTTAGAAAGCGCGTATGGGCATGTCATCGCTATTTGTGGCGTTTCGAAATGTTTAATGCAAATAAGAACCAGTTGGCAAGTTTTTACAGCCATTTTTTATGTTCGAGTTCAACCTATTTATTACAAAAAAAATTAAATAATGCACCCAATTTACACAAAACAGGCGAAAAAAACTTGAATTAAAACAATCGTTTAAAATATGAAAACGTTATTGTGTTATCATACATTAAAAGCAAATACAAAGGCTAGAAGTACAAGAAGATCTTTGAGTTGCCGTCTTTCAAATTAAACCTCGAATTGATATGATATGTTCCAATCAAAGAGCCTATAATTGTCATTATACATAGTAAATGTAATTACTTACTGTTATATATGTTTCATGCGATTTTGTGCAAAAAAATGCTACTGCCAATAGTACTCTAAAAAAAATTGCACACTCGAAATCAATATTTAATTACAAAGTATTTTCCGCAAATACATGTCGTCACGCTAATAACCGAATTGCGTGAGTCATTTTTAGCAGTTTTGAGAAAAACTTAAAAAACTTCCTGATGATATTGTTATGCCATTGAGAGTAAATAATTTGCCATGGTTCAATTTTTTGATCGTAGCCGCATTTAAGTTAATTTGTATGACGCAGTTAAGTGACGTCATAATGGCGCACTGTGACTTAGGCAGAAATGTGGTTAAGAATTTGGGATATACGGAATTTTGCAACTTTACTATATGCACCAGTCCTGAAAATTAAACATTCCAAAAACGAATGTAATTCTCAGTATCTACAATGTCTAATCCCCAAAATAGCTAATCAGTTTTAATTACTTTATTTCATATGTTTAAAAATATATATTTCATCAATATAACACGTTCTGCACACCCACCGAAATAAGACTAAGATTGAATATAAAGAATAAAACAGCAATGCATCCAATATGAAAGCCAACCAAGGTAAATTGGACTCGGACAGTGAATATCACAAGTGCACGACTTCCTATACTGTAGTATAAATTCAAATTAATACGCGCTAAGCTAGAATCCGAGATGCAAAAACTCGAAAATACTTCACCGAGGTTATTTTGCCTTTGTGACGTCACAATAGTTCTGCTGTAACAATGATAATTCATTATGACGAAACAATTACACAAATGTGCATGTCATACTAAATCTTCATTTTTATGGGTTTCGAAATTCCTAAAATAAAATCCGAGTTAACAGATAGGTGCGCAGCAATACATAAATACATATTTTATAAAAATACTCAAAATCGCCAAAAATGACTTACGCAATTCGGTTATTAGCGTGACGATATGCTCATCAAATTCTTGGGTCGCGAGAAATTAAAATTTTTTTGTAGGCCGCGCCAAAATTACTAGCGGACCCCTTATCAAAGGTACACTTTGTACTCTTCATTAGTTGAACGATGTCGGAGTATGTCTGGAAAGATGAGATTCCAAGTTCAATCCTGTGTAATTTCCAGAAAAAGAGAAACGTTTAGGTCCGTCCATCCAGAAATAAAGTTGCCCTTTGCATATCAATCAATATATTCATACAGAGGCTTGTTTAGAAGGAAATACCTGAAATAACAGAGCACACCTCCTAATATCGATGTAATATTTATAACACACAAGGCATAAATTAAGGGGGATTCGTAAGAAAACATTTATTGACACGAATAAATTACATATGATGAAAACTTGTGCTCGTTTGTTGAAATGTCATAGACCAGAAAATGTTTAAAAAAAAACTTGATAAGCTGCGTCGGGTATTGTTGTTTCGGGCTATGGACAGGAGTTTGCATGGACTTCAACATAATTTCAAGGCTGAAACGACTCTTCAAATTAGAGGGATTTCTGTTACTTCTATGGAGACGCCAGAACAGGTATTTTAAAAATTTTGATCAATAGTTTACGAGACTTCAAATGAACATCAATCAAAGAATAACGTGCAATGCGGTATGCAATACATCGGAGAAACAGGTACACATTTAAAATACAGAATTTCATAACACATTAGAAGCATCAATCAAACAAACAAACAAACTTCTTGCAGTTGGCGAACATTTCAGTCAATCAGGCCATTCCATCAACGACTTTCTGGTAATCGGACTAGGTAGTCTACTTGTCCATACATTGTTGTACATTAAGTCGTTTTCTATTGAAACAATCGTTTCCTATTCTTCATAAATTCCATGTTCCAAAAAAAGAAATTTCGGCATATTCTTCACTATTTTACAAAACAAGACTTTCTATGAGACTTGTTATGAGCATACTGATACACGGACCTGCAATTTGTTTTCTGTAGCTCCTATAGCAAAATAATCTAAGTTTAGATCGGAATCCATGAAGCATAATGATTCAAGTTTTGTAGTTGATGTCAGTTCAGCCAATTTGCGATATTCTTCAAATGTCTTGTCTTGAACATTGAGATTTTTGAGCTGTGTAAAAGGGTGCGATGAGATAATTTTTGGAAATCAAAATATGTTTGGTGACAAACTGATCTGAATGAAATTTGTCGTTATGAATCGTTTGATGATAATTAAATTAAAATATGCTATTTTACCAATATTCAGTTTAATAGACTTAATTTGTACTCACTGGATTTCAGCGCTTGATTAATTAAAGAACTCAACTTCTTTCCCTGCCAGGTTGCAATAGAATATTTCAAAAGTGCTTGTACCTGAATTCACAACAGCTATTCCAAGTGTATGATTCCGCTTTTATGTTAACTTCACCTTCAATACTCAGGTATTCAAGCTGTAAATATTTTTTATTAACTCAGCATAACATTTCAAAAGTAAAAGCTTGTGACACAAAATGACAGATAAAATTGTGATAAACTGTTTCGATTTTATTTTAAATCATTTCACTTTTGTTTACGTAATCTACCATGGGTTGCCGTTTTGTTTTTGGAAAGTTTTAGGGAGTACTGGAAATTAATCAAATAAAATTTGCAGTAGCAGGATTTGCTTATTTTTTTCACCTTTACTCCATGTTCTGCTACGCCCTGTGAAAACGAATCAGTCTTTCTATTTGTTCGAAAGACATATTTTCCGATATTGTATTTGATAAGAGTTCAGCAATGTCCTGATATCCTTCGACATCCAAATTTTCTTCTTTTTTGAACCACAGCGATTGAACCTTTGTGTAAAAATATTAAGTTCTCAGCATATAACCGGTATTTTCTAAATATTGGCATTAATGGACTAAATACTTCTAGTGCCATTAAAGATAAGATAAACAGTCACTAAACACAGTATAGTATTTGAATATGTCCAATAATGAAAATATAAAAGAATAGAATGCTTAATTGATAAGTTCATGATAAACCTTGACTCTTCCAGTAAATGAATTCTTCAGTTTTTTTAGCTTATGTTTTGTCAGATTTGATGGATTAAATCCAAGAAATTCATATTTCGGCGCGATGACATCGACACACTGAATGAAGCGAAGATTAAATCAATTTTCAGCTGGGCATCACTAATCATAGTTCTTTTTTCGTTTTTTGCAATGTTCATTTTCAAAAATAATTCATCGCGAATTTTTCGCATGGTTTACCAAATTTGGATAAATATTTTTTTCAAGAAGAAATTTTTTATAAAAGATCAAGCAGTGATACATCTCTCGAATATGGATTTTATTTCCATTGCATCTCAATGAGCTCCATTTGAATATTTTCTGCGTCGTTGAGCCCCGCCCTTATCGTGTTGTCATTTGTCTAAATATAATCAATTGTAGGCTCGTTAAAAGAGTAGCTGCTCACTTTATTGTTAGGGTATGATATAATTCATTCTATACGTGTCTCACAATAAATTCTGTTACATAAATAATATAAACTACTCCTCTACCGAAGCTTAAAAAATGAATTCATCGTCAAAATCGCCGTTTTGTCGGTAAAATTTAGTGAAGACTTGCGGGCCGGATTATTTTACCCCGCTGGCGGGATTATTTTACCCCGCGGGCCGGATTATTTTACCCCGCGGGTTGTCGACCTCTGGAATAGAGTGTTGTTAATGAAAGACGTGCATGCTAGGTTATATATCGACCCATCCACGATACTCGCCTTTATATTATCAGCTGGCAGTAGTCTATAAAATGGCTGCGCTCAAAAATTGTTAGGTTGTTCTCTTATATGAGCTACATGAATAAAAAAAAAAGTACAAATAATTGATTAGTAATGATGAAACAGTATCCGAAGAAATAACCCATGTTCTTTCATAACAGTGAAAACGTTGTCGCTTTCCACTTTCGGCAATTTACATTCGAATCCGAATTGAAAAAAATTGACTCCGACTCTAGACTCGGGGTTGCAAACACTTCTGACCCCGACTACAGTTCCGAACTCATTTTGATAACAAAACTTATAGCACATGTTAGCGTTCACTAATTGAATGTTGAAAACTATTAGTAAGCTTGATGCTATTCGAGTTTCTGTTTTGAATCTCATTATCACCATTGAATGCCTGTAATTCAAAATCTTGCAGTTTAATATTAAGCTTCCAGATCCAGTGAGAACATGCCGAATTCCTACTTTTCAAGGCAGAGAGTATTGAAACACGCGAATCAATTGTCTGCTACTTATTGGAACATATACCAGGGTGATAAGACCAAGTGTAGACAAATGTTTATTAATCTATAATATTAATGTAAGAGAGAAAAAAAATAGTTTGTAGAAAATAGCATTATAAAGATAAATAATAGTATTCATTGTTATTTTTCGTTATATCCTCCCTTTGCCTTCACTAGGGCTGGGCATTTCGAATCGAATAGTAAATTATTCGAATCGGTTCAAAGCTAAATTTCGAATCGCGCCACCTTGTTTTTTTTTTATTTCCGCCAATGGTCGAGGTGGATTACCTGATTTTTTTTTCATTGAAGTCATATTTTTTCAACGCAGTTCTAACATATGAATATTTTATGTAGTGAGTTATTGATAAAACGTGTTTTTTTATTGTGTGTGAACGCTCAGCAATCTGCCTTAGTGATGTATTTTATGTTTTCAGTAATGTATATGTCTGGAAGACCTAATACAATAAGAAAGTTACATACAATTTTCCAGATATTCGAGATTCGATTCGATTCTGAAATTACCAGGTTTTCGAAGATGCCCAGCCCTAGTCACCGGGGCAACAATTGGGAGGATAATCCTAAACCAGAACGATTCGGTAGCGTAATAGTAATAGCCTTTTGCATATCGGTTAGATATCAGCGTCTGGCTTGTTTTGAGCTATTGTCGTAAATGAGCATGATATAAGAATTTTATAAGTATGTGAATCAAGATGGCAAAGACTGGAACGTAGTATGTGTACCAGGTTAGGCTTAGGCCGTAATTCCAGGTACAAATACTACGGGAGTCACTTGGCTAGTCCCCGAACTCGCAATAGAACTAAAATAGGGAAAATTGTAAAATAATTATGGCCCAACCCTAACCTGTAACACATACTACGTTACAGTGTCCGGAAGTACCCTTTAATGAAGTTTCGGGTTAGGTTTGAATTTTGTCTGTTTTGAGTGCTTTGTGCCGGGGATTATTTATTACCCTGCGAACCAATAGCGATGTCATATGCAGATTTAATTTGCTTAGTTAAATTTGGCATATTCGAAGCCTCGATTCTTTCAAAGAGGGTTGAAGTGGCAAGGACAAAATAAAGTCGTTTTGTTCATATAAAGATTAAATATTCATTTATTCATGTTTACTGTTATTTTTCCATATTAGCGGAGTCTTGTTCAAAGTGAAATAAGCACAATGTATAAAAAAAACTAATCGTTTTTGCTATTATGGTGTTATTTTTTCTATTCCTATTGTTATTCTTGGAATAACGTTTACAGCTTCATTGGAATACGGTTGCGTGGTGCATGACTGTTTCGGATTTGACATTACGCTAAGCAAACTCGGAGATTAATTGATACGTTGGCACGGTACGAAAAGTACTTTGCTTTGGTTATCGTGTCCATATATTTCAGCATTGCTCTCATGTTTCAATGTATATAATTTACCTATTTATTTAGATCAGTGTTTCCCAACCCGAGTCCGCGGTCTCAAATGAGTCCGCAGAGCGTTTAAATGAGTCCGCAACGAGTCAGAAATTCACTGCGGGCCGCAAACGTTTTTGCGAAACTTAATTAACTATCAGCCAAGTTAGGATTTGCGTTTGAATTTACAAAAAAAGCATGAAAAGTCAGTTTATTCACATAACATTACTCGCGTCAATGATGATTACTGGTTACTGAGTAGGGCTGGGCATATATTCGAATATTCAACTGTTAGAATAGCATATTTACTAATCGAAAATTTGGTAACATGTAACGCGACAGGTCACTTGCGAGTCGCTTAATCAAACGATCGGATTTCACAACTCACTTGTAGATTTCCGACGAAAACAAGCGTCTGTACACGCTTCGATAGATTCGTAATGTGTTTCTCGCAAGTTCGAACAACGAGGAATAAAAAAAAATTCTGGTAGGTGTAAATGGTGGCAACCCAAATTTTCTAAATTGAAATGCGGTCCGCGACCGATTAAAAACGCTTTTTTAGACATTGCAAATCGCAAAATTTCGCGTGCTACCGTAGTATACGTACCAGGGCATTTTCCTTTCTCTGCTTTACTGCCTCCAGATTGGTACGCACAGTAGTAATGTCGAATTCACACAGATTTGTCGAATTCACAAAAATACGAGTCAAAACAAGATATAATCGGGCACTTTACCACGCATTTTTGTGTCCACGGATTGTCATGATATTTTCTGAGTAGTATTGCACTTATTTCGTCAACACAACCGCAGATTAAAAGAATCACACATGGGGATGGATTGAATAGTTTATGCAACAGAAAAAATCATTGAAAAGTCGGCTCTTTTAACGAGTGACGTATACGCGACGATTACTTCAGAAGTTGTTTTCGAGAATTCCAAGGCGATGAATATGTATTCTTGATTTACGAATATATATATATATACTTTTAATATATTTTTAACAAATACTAAATTAAGTTGTACATTCTGGAAATTTATAGCAGATAGTATGATTTTTTGTAACAGCGATAACGAATTCGCAAGATCGCAAAAAATATGTATCAAAGCTGAATATATTCAGGCAATATATTCTCTCATTATTATGTTCGCAGATGGCAGTGGAATTTTAAAAAAGTAATGCTTTCATCTTGTCGTAAGTCGACGCAACCGCGAGTTACCATGATGAACACAATTTAATTAAAATGGAAATACATTTTAAATTCTCGTCGATGTCATAGAATGAATACTGTGCGACAGAAAAATCCATTATACACCAAAAAATGTCGGCTCTTTTAACGATTTTAAAATTCGTTGTGTTTGATTTTTCTGTTGTGTTTGGTTTTATTGCTGCTTTACACAAAGTACGGTTGCAATAAACGCACCTTGAGTCCGCAAAGGTTTTCGCCGGTGAGAAAATAGTCCGCGACCAAAAAAGGTTGGGAAACGCTGATTTAGATGTTTGTCCGAAGCTTGACGAACTTGAAAACCGTCGCGTCGTGTCGTTTAAATGTTCAACTGATGGAAAGAAATGCAACTCCGAATGCCCAGGTTTGTACTGTAAATATGTGTGTTTGGGTATGTATGTGTGTGCGTGGGGGCACGAGTTATTGACTCGATACGAGTTAGATTCGAGTCACCGTGTATCAAAGACTCGAAGGGACCTGAGTCATTCAGAGCTTCCTCGCGCCCCTTTTAGAATTTTACGCTAACGTGGTTGAGGTTTATTATCTTAAACAGTTCGAAATATGCTTTATGAAAATTGTTATGCAACTGCGGCGCTTATCTGATTTTTTGTATTCTTTAAAATCGTGAGATTTATGTTTTGCAGCAGTTTTAATTATCGTTTTGCGAATCGAAAGTCTAAGAAAGTACAATAGATAGTACTTTGTGTGAAATCGGTGTACTCTTTTAGTCGGTGTACTCAAAAACCTGGCTACGCTCCTGATAGCGCATATAGCAGGGCTGGGCAAAGTTTTCCCACCAGGGGCCAAAAATTTTGCCTCTCTAGACTGGCGGGCCATGTAAGTGTGAAGTAAAAAGTTACATTTTATGAATAATATCACAGTGTTACAAAAGCAAAATTGGGAAACAATATGCCTCGCGCCAAAACTAAATTCAATCGCAATCTCAACAAATTCTTTGAGTTATTTTTTTGAATAACATTTCAAAATTTGGCTTTAATTTGGATGTGGGCCAGGCGGGCCAGCTTGAATTACCCAACGGGCCGGATTTGACCCGCGTTCCGTAGTTTGCCCATGTCAGGTATATAGGCTAATACTTACCCTGCCTATATTTTTTGCGGCTGCATTACATTTATAGTTTTCTCTTCTAAATAAATAATACATATTATGATTTCTGTTCCATTTCAGTTGATATGACTTTAAGAGGCGGATCGGATGATTTCTGTTCCATTTCAGTTGATATGACTTTAAGAGGCGGATCGGATTCTGTTACTGGCACATTCGGAGATAAGACAGCTTGGATGGACGGGTCATCTCCAGCAGTTTCGCCGTGTTGCGAGCTCTCTTTTCCCGCCAACGAATATGCTGATATCGTGTTCCTGATTCATTATACGACTCTTACAGGACGAGCTTAATGGACAAGAGTGCTAAATTTTGTTAACTCAATAGTAAGGAATCGGGGTTAGCGTAAATGCTACGTCGATCCAGTGCATGGCGCGTTGGCCTAATGCAGGGATGTGCAACCTGCGGTGCCCATATTTGAGATTGTGTTCATGTCGCATGTCGCAACGCATGTCTTAAGATAAATAACCAAAATTTTTGTGCTTACAACTACTAGTAAGCATATGTTAAATGAAGGTGCGGCTCGCGGTTTCATACATTTTTTTAATCTGGCCCTCGTGTATCAAAGGTTGTACACCCCTGGCCTAATGAAGTGATTCATAAGGCCCTTTGAATAATTTTCATGAGATTGAAATATGCCGGCCCTAACAGAAGGTTTTCTGAAGGAGGTGGTAGTGAAGGGCCAGCTCTAAACCACGACTGAACTTTGGTATCTACAAGACGTTCTCAGGCCACCCAAACATCAGCGACGAAGAGCCTATGGAAGCCAAAAGTGCTAACTAAGCCAAAAGCTCTAGTAAAGCTAAAAACTTCAGCAAGTGTCGTCTTTGTAACACCTCACCTAACAATGAAGAAAAATGTATTGAGAATTTAGGAAATAACTAAATATTCCTCTACATCTTTTTGGATCAGCATTCACGAGAATGCTAAAGTTTCTGCACCGATTCTAAAATTGGAGAATTGCAAAGACGGCAAAGCCACACACTATAGGTGAAGATCTAGTGTTGCCAGCTGCAAAAGAAATCATTGAAACAGTTATGAAACAGAATTCTTCTTCGGTTTTGCGTGCTGTTCCTTTGAGTAATAATACAGTTCAACGACGCATTGATGAAATGAGCTCCGATGTGTTAAAACAGCTAGTAGAAATCCTCTCCGTAACCAAACATTCACTGCAAATAGACGAATCCACCTTGAGTAATAACGAGTCACTACTGTTGGGCTATGTGCGATTTATACATAATCTGCAGGCCCAAGAAGAAATGCTTTTTGCCATCGATCTCCCTGCTGATACTCGAGCAATGACTGTCTTTACTGCAGTGGAGAGATTTTACAACGAAAAGAAGATACCACTGCAAAATATATTGCAATGTGCAACCGATGGCGCTGCTGCAATGGTTGGCAAACATAGGGGCTTCATTGCGCTTATGAGAAGAAAAATACCTGGACTGATTGCCACTCACTGCGTCATCCATCGGCAGCATTTGGTCGCTCGTAATCTTAGTGCAGAACTGCACGACGCTTTGCATATTGCGATAAAATGTATAAACAAAATTAAGGCTAATTCACTTAATGATAGGCTTTTCCGTGTCCTTTGTCACGACAACGAAGAAGATTTTGAATGTCTTTTATTACATACCGCAGTACGATGGCTTTCTAAAGGTGCATGTATGACTCGATTTTACTCCCTCTACGATTCAGTGGTCGAATTTCTTTCCGGTGTCGATTTTCAATTGGCCGAATCCTTGATACCATTAAAAAATGATATCGCATACTTGGCGGACATTTTCAGTTTCATGAATGAAGTAAACAAAAAACTTCAGGATGAAATGATAACGCTTATCAGATGCAAAAGTGTTCTAACGTCATTCATATCAAAGCTTTCATTATACAAGGACAATATGGGGCGGAATACTTTGTCACAATTTCCAAATCTATGCGAGAATAATGTAACAGAAAATGAACGACTCAAATACTGTGCTCGTTTACAAAACCTAGTGGAGGATATGAACATTCGCTTTGAAGACCTCATCAGTCTAACGGTGCCGCGCTGGATAGTACAACCATTTTCTGCCGAACCGGCTGATCTAAAAGTCGAACTTCAAGATCAATTCATCGACTTACTACATGATGAGGAATCGAAGATGGATTTTACCGATGATCGATATGATGTCTTTTGGTGCAGGTCATCGAGCAAGTACCCGACAATTTTTGAGGAGGTAGAACCCTGGATTCTTTCATTTCCTACGTCTTATATGGTGGAAAAGGGGTTTTCAGCCGTGACACTATTGCTGTCAAAACAACGGAATCGGCTTTCCATCACTAAACGGGGTGATTTGAGATTGTTTCTGACAAAAATGTCACCCAAAATTAAAAAACTCGCTGAAGAGCACCAAGCTCACCCATCACATTAAAAACACTTTGAACCATGATTTGTCTTTTTTCGTTTCTTTGGTCTGTAATATATTCGTTTCTGACTCAACGTTTTTTTTGTTGTGTCGGGGGGCGATGAAGTTGTATAAAGTACTGTAGGGGGGCGATGACAAAAAAAGTTTGGGAACCACTGATTTATATTCACTGTTATCCAGGATGTGCGATATTATACTTTTATTACCATGATATACATTCTCTAGAATTGCATAAAAATTGACCCGGGTGCAGTTTAAAAGTACATAGATAGTGAAAGTTTAATGACCATTCGCAAGTGAACACCAATGGTTGGAAGCTATGCACAGTATATCCTGGTGAAGGATATAGCAGTTGGCACAGGACTTTGAACAGTTCAACACTGTCAAGAATATTAAAAATATGTGAGAAACCTTGTTCACGTGATATCATTCTAAAAGGTGAATATTATTGTGTAAAACAACTTTGATCTTAGTATAAATCCTCAATTTGCTGCCAAGTTTGTGTGAGAATTTGGATGATCGGAAGCTGATTGGTTCATCCATCTACTTTATCAAACAGGTGGTTGTGTAAAAGAAAACAACCGGCCTCCCTTGATTTTAATGCACTTATTTGGAGTATATAAACCCTAGTCCTCAATATTCACTCTTCACGAAGCCCTGCACTGTGATATCACGATTAATTTCTTTTTTCAATGCAGCCTTTGCAAAATATTAACTCACCCCAGTTCTAGAATATGTTCCAAATAACCCAAATTCTTGGCATTATTTACTTACGATGAAAGTGTTAGATTAGGTAGGCGAATGTCAAATTGGAAAGATTCTGGGCCTACCATAAATATTAGCTTTTTACATTTCTGTGACAGTGCCTTGTTTATAGTGAAAAGCGTGGAAATGCATCGTATGATAAATATATGACTCAGAAATGATATCTATGTCAGCCCTAAAAAAGTATTATTGGGGGTAATCTTATGAAATAAGAGAATAGTATTTCCTCATTTATCAGTGGCAGATTACCCAGAGCCTGGTCAGAATTGAAAGTATGAGATCAAATTCATCAAATTGAATTATGAGATGCTTTTGCTATTGTTCACCTTTTAGCCACCAACTTCATATATTTATCCCAAGTTAAATGACATTCTAAACAATCCCAATATAATTTGGCTGTAATTCTGCTCATATTTTAGTGACAAATCAACCTTTGCGTATTGCATAGAGCCGTGCTGGTAAACTAGTCATAGCTCATAAGGAAATAGATTAGCTGACGTTATTCGATAATTTGATAGTGTAATAATTTACATTTGTAAGATCGAGCATGGTCCGTTCGTAAAACACACTGCTGAGACACTGGCCATGTTTGGTAAACACAATTTCTAAATAAATTGGTAATATGACGCCAATAGGTAATTTGAGAGTTGACGAAATACCAAACTATTATATCTCGATGCAGCTTAGACTTATTTTATTGCTCGAGTTGGGACTGTAGTGTGGTGTAGAGTCTACAAAGTCCTGTGCCAACTGCTATATCCTTCACCAGGATATACTGTGCATAGCTTCCAACCATTGGTGTTCACTTGCGAATGGTCATTAAACTTTCACTATCTATGTACTTTTAAACTGCACCCGGGTCAATTTTTATGCAATTCTAGAGAATGTATATCATGGTAATAAAAGTATAATATCGCACATCCTGGATAACAGTGAATATAAACTAAGTTATCTAAGCTTGCATTTTCAAATAGCTCGGCTAGTCCATCTGATTGCATTTGAAAAATTTGTCGAATTATTTTTAGGAAGAAGGGTGCATGGCTACGACTTTGTCATAAACATAAATCAGTATCAGTTCAAGTGAATTACGCATTCGGGAAATAACTATCTAACTGCTAACTGCTCACATATGAGTATTATATATGATATTGAATAGTCAGATTTGTCTCTAAAAAGAGAGACACATTGCAATGTGTGTTGTGTATGGGAAAAGACTTTAGGTTCAGAATTTAGGTTGCAGTTGCAGTGTATTATCTTCTGACTACAAGACATTTTTATTATAAATTGGAATTTGCATGTTTCGTAGGTTTAGAAATTAGGTTGCAGTTGCAGTGTATTATCTTCTGACTACAAGACATTTCTATTATAAATTGGAATTTGACTGTTTCGTAGCCTTGAATTTTACTTAAATTTCTATTACTACTACTATCTTCTACTACTATTCAATTTCTACTTATCTATATTGTGTTACAAAAACGAAATTCTACAATGGTTCAAATATTTTTAATTACTACTAATATTACAGAATCTAGTTACATCGGCATTTCTAACTGTTATAAAGGCCTCACTATCTGTTAAGATCTTCCAGGATTCAGAAAATGGCTGATTTTAAAAAATCTGCAAAGATTACCCACTCATTGCATCTACTTACATCATTCAATGAACTAAAACAATCTAACTGTATTTGTAACTTCACAATCAAGGTTGGTTAATAAATCTTTCAAAGTCCATCCAGACCTGCTTGCCGCAGTATCAAAGTACTTCAAAGGCATGTTTTCAAGTAACATGGTTGAGGCACGGAATGGTTTTATCATTATGAAAGACATCTGTGCTGATGCTGTAGGGCAGTGTGTAGATTTCATGTATACCGGTGAAGCAAATTCATCCATGGAATCTGTTGAAAATACTTTGTATGCTTCTCACTTAATGCAGCTTGATGTATTATCAAGTATATGCTTTAATTTCATGGAAAATAATCTGTCAGTGCAGCATTGTTTTTTAGTGGTAAGGTTGGCAAGCCTTTATGATCGAACAGAGCTAAAACCCATTGCTGAGCGATTTATTGTGGATAATTTTGAGTCTCTGATTTCGGGTGAAGATTTTCTACATTTGTGCAAAAAAGAACTCATATTTTATCTGCAAAAGATGGATAAAAAACATGAAGTAGTTTGGCATGCTGTGAGAAGATGGATTTCAAACAAAGGTGAAAAGATTGGATTAGAATTAATGGAGACTTGTCATTTTGGAAAGTTTCCTTATAAATTTTTGCTTACTGATCTTCTAAATAATTCTTTGGTCGAAAGTTCTTTAGACGCAAAAAGTTTTGTCGTCAAAATATTGCTTTCAAATATCAATGGGTTGAAAGAGAATTTGTCTCTCGAGACTTTATTTGTTTTGAGGAAGATTAATTGGATCGAAAACAAAGTTTGCTCAGAGAATGTCAGAAATATAATCAATGAATTTATGGCTCGGAATTTTGAGCAGATTGTACCGATGGATGAATTTCTCGAGTTAGAAAAAGAGGAAATTATTTTCTTGTCCAAATCTCAAAAAACAAAATATTCTTCAGAGAAAATAAAATGGGAAGCTGCACTGAAATAGGCAAAGCAAAGTCGCCGTCATCAGAACGTTTTTCCAGAGTTGTTCGAGTTGATAAAACTTCCGGATTTTTCCGATGATTTTATTCGACAAACAATCAGAAATGAACCTTTGGTTAAAGAGTCGCATAAGTGTAAAGATTTATTGCTTGATGTTCTCTGTGCCAGAGCTGACGTTATAAAACATGTCCAACATATTGCTGTCCCAACGAAGACTGGTATAAAGGCTCTGAATCTCCAAACAAATCAATGGTCCAGTTTGCAGTCAGATTATTATGTTAGCTTTCATCTCGTCAATGTTGAGGGACAATTGTATGCTTCAGATGGGAATGAATTGTCTTTGTTACAAGATGGTCGATGGATTAAGAAGGCTAAGATTAAAAGAAAAACTCATGGAAATGATAAGATGTTTTATCTAAAGAGTGGGATTTATATTATCAACTCTGCTCAGCATACAGCGCGATACGACATCGCCAAAGACAGATGGGATAAAAATTTGCCTCCATGTCGTATTGGTGGTTGTTTTTGTGCCGCTGCCTCTGATGAGTTTATATATGCAATGGGAGGTTGGTCAGCAGAAAAAGAAGCAAAAGTATATGATCCTGGAACAAACAAATGGTCTTTCCTACCACAGATTCATGGAACAGGAGGTGGTGCAGCAGTCGTTTTTCAACGTATGGTTTATGTATTGGGAGGTTATGATGAAGGGCGTGTTGACAATCTTGTTCAATGTTATAACCCTGTTGTGCGCTCATGGACAGAAATTGCAAAAATGAAGATGAATAGAAGTTTGTTCGGTACATGTGTTGTTGATAATAAAATGTATGCAGTCGGTGGTGCTGAAGGTGAACGCCTGACTAAGGATTCTATTGAAACATTCAATGAAGAAACTGGTAAATGGGAAAGAGTCTGTGAAATGAATAGGCTTTACATTCCATGGGTTTATTGCTGTAGCTATGCTCTCTAAATAGGCAAGCAGGGATAAAATTCGATGACGAGGAAATAAACTTGTTTTATTTAAACACTAACTGTATTATCTTCCCTATTGGGTCATTGGTGTTGAATTAACTGCAATAAACTTTCCCAGATAGCTGTATCACTCTTGATAAATTCACATTTCATCCATTCTATAGTTCATTTTCAAAATTCATCACATCTACATGGCAGACAAGAGGCCGGGGTTTGATTAAGTCGTTTTATTGACTTCCCTTTTCCCCGGAATAAAAATGTAAACCCTACATATTCCCAACAAGCAAATCTATACAAAGGTGAGCAGTAGCAGCCACTTTGCTACCCTGTCTATCGCAATCTGGTAGAGGTGTTGTGCACGAGTTTAATAACATTGTTTCGAACGGAATGGAATTGCAGACTTAAGCCCGTAAGCTTACGAGCAGCTATGTTATCTTTCCTTAATATTATTAATTCGCTTTCAGTTTTTTCATATGCAAAATTTTATTATATATAATAAAAGTTTATATTATTTCATTGACAGAATTGAAAATATTTTATTAATATTAAATTAATTTAAAAATATATAGTTCAATGACTGCTGCAAAGAAATTTGTGTCAAAATAAACTACTTCTTTATTTTGATCTTAAGAATATGAAACAGCTTGATTTCTTGTGAAAATAGTTTATGAGGCTTTTAATGCCACTTTTGAATTTGCTTGCTTTATGTGGATTTTTTTACATTTATCTTTCTAATTTACTCATCGTAAGTCATTTCGTCTGTACCGGAAGTTTTAAATACCTGACTATTTTATATTTTGCTTTGACTGATATGCATATATTTCCTAATTTAAATCTTTCAAATTGTAATTGTGTTGAGGTGAAATCGCGGAGATCAGCTTAGAGATGATGCGAATTTCAACTACGATTACAGACTTGAGGAATATTTCGACTCCTACTCCAGCTCTGAGAAGACGAAATATTGATAACATAAACTTTAGCAAATGCAACACGCGAGCATGCCCAACATGCAAAAGTCTGGTCCCACAAACACTTTTTTATTGTGCCTATATATATACTGTATATATTTTATGAACATTAGGATTAAATTTCCAGATTGAAGGATTTTCCTTCATTCTTTGTGTTTCTGTAATTTAGCATCTATTGTTTGGTTTTCTTATATATATATATATATATTCATTATTTTAAATGTTCTAATTTAAATTCTATCATTGTTCATGTAAGATTTTATAGAAAACATTTTGTGCATTAAAATAGCTGAGTCTTATGATTTGGTATTTTTTCGATTTTTAGCATCGTTATTCGAAGCATCTATAGATTTTTTTCGATTATGCAATTTGAATCACCTACAACGAATTTTAAACCACTCGCAAGTTAGGTCCATGCTACCTGAACCGCTAATCGGACGAGAGGCCGTGATTCACCGTATGATTATGTCGTATTATCGGATTTCCTCTCCCCTGGGATAAATATGTAAATACTATCCTAGGTACTACGCTCAGTAATAAACTTCCTCATTACATATGAGGCCACAGTACACATAACTTTTGTATGAAATTGGCCAGTTGAAGTTATACTTCACTGCTTGAATATTCTCGACTTGCAAATCGTAATATATGATGGTACCTGTCAATGCAACACAAGAGTTTCACAGGAATGCCTTCTACGCAAGCTGTAGTTGTTCCACCAGGACAAGTATGTTTCCAACAAGTGACAGGTGTTTGATCCTACACATCTTCAATGTCAGCACTGGGGCCACTTTATTGCCTACTGAGACAGATGCTTTTAATTCACCCAATAACATCTGCTTCACCAATGTATCAAGGATCACAGCCTACACCAGGGTGGTCCAAGCGGGCCACATGTGGCCCGCATCGTCATTATCTGTGACCCGCGTCGCCTTTGCTGAAGGGTAATCGAAAATCGCATTTGGTGTTGTTTCGGTATAAAAATAACCATAAAATCTTCGACATCTTGTTATATGGCTAATGTCACTGAATTGATTGGTGCCACGGCTAGCTGAAGCAACTAGCGAAGCTGAATAGTGTGCCTGGGTAATCCAAATTGTTCACTGGCTTTCTATCTTTTTGGTTGGGAATATATTTCAACAGTTATAATACCTAAATTCTAATATTATGGCCTGAGAATGTAATTCTTTCCGTGATGTTTTGAACCAGCCTAAACAGTATTACAAAAAATGCTTCTAATATATAAGAAAAATTAGTAATTACTCCTGTGTACCTTACATTCGGTAAAATATGTTAAACAATCATTCAGCAGTTAGTCTAAAAAGCCATTTTGCTATCATGTGAGCAATGAGCATTTCCAAATTTTGCTCTGAGAACCCCATCGATGCTCGAGAGTACTTACATTTGCGGGAGCACTTTCTCCGTTGTGAAGAGTTTGAAATCTTATATTAAATGTAGATAAAAGTTTCAGTGATTTTTCTGGTGTATTTTGCATGTTTTAGTTGATAAATGACAAACAATAAATGATTGTTTGCACAATAAAGTGCTTGTTTTGTATTGCCCTGTTTACCTATTTCTAACACTATTGTGGCCCGCGAACAATGCAAAAATAATTGTGTGGCCCGCGAAGGCAACAACTTTGGACCACCCTGGCCTAAATCCTCCAAACAAGTCCATCCCTGTGCTCCATAACCCAACGATGTCTTCGTGCATAACCAAGGCTTCCTGCATAACCAATCATGTGCTGATATTTTGTGTCTTGGGTTGGTTATGAAACTCACTGGAATCATCTGAACTACTTGCACATCGTGTTCTCTACATGAAATTATTAATTGTCTACATAATATGCGTGTTGTGAACTATCTTGATTAAATGGCTCTTTTTAGATCAAATTAAAATTGGTTTAGTTTGAAATATATTAATATAATATTGGTATTCGATCAATATGGGCAATATCAAGTATTTGTGTGTTATATTCATTAAAAAATATTTTTTGTATATATCTAGTTTGTTTCAATGATCCTTAATAAATCTGTTGTCTGGGTCAAAGGTCATTTATATCAGCGATTCCCAAAGTGGGCGATATCGCCCCCCGGTGGGCGAAAACGATAGAGAGGGGGGCGAAAAAGTCGAAGGGGGCGATAGGGGGGCGATTCCGTGAAACCTGTTTTTGTTCGGGGGTTGGCCCATTGTGCATTTGATTACTGTACTCTGCGCGTGTTGGCAGGTTTGAATCCGCGATAATCCCACGCAAGAAGATGGCCGGACTCCTGCATCTTAAATGAATAAGACCTACCCTGAAAATAACACCTAGCCTGAATTTTAAAAATGATTTTAAAATGAGCCCTCCCCTCAAAATAAGACCTAGTCAATAACGCGAGATTTTTTTTGACCTAGTCGATAGCACGAAATCTCTCCTACACGATTTAAATAATAGATAATCTATGTTTTGCAGTTGTTTTGAATAAAAACATGTTATTTATAGGTAAATGGATATCGGTTTTCATATTTTGAATATTTGAAAATCTCGTAATTCTCTACTTTTTAATGATTTTAATAAATAAAAATATAAGACATCCCCCGAAAATAAGCCCTAGTGTTATTTTTCGGAAAAAAATTGAAATAAGACCCAGTCTTATTTTCGGGGAAACCCGGTATCAAGTTCATAACTATGAAACAAGTAAATGGCTGATTAATTCTATGGACTGGTAACCGAACTGGGGGCAGTGGTACGCTGAATTGATTATGCCGTTATATTGGATATTTTTCTCTCCTGGATAAGTATAAAAATTCCATCCTTTTGTTTAAGCTCAAACGAAAGGAATCTCCATGACACCTCTGCTAGGAGGAGAGCATGGTGGCAGACGACATACGCGAGTCACGTGACTGATTCTGTTGCGCATTTCATAACTGTGGCTGTGAGCGGTTGCATTATGACAATAATTTGAAAAGTGTGCTCGACTCCATTGAAGAATATACCAAAAAGTTTGCGTGGAATGAAAGTAGTGCAAAGAGGAATTACGATTCTTTTCGGCTATCGTTTATCTACTGATGAAGTGTAAGATACCGGTAAAGCCGTAAGATTTTAGACAGAACTTGTACCCATTTAGGCTATCACAGAAACAGTTTGTATTTAAATTCTATACATGAGCTAGCCTACAATCATTAATATGACTAGCGTGTTATATACAGGGTTTTCATGTTTATATCTGAGCGGGCGAGCGACAACGCCACATTGACAACCTGCTAGAATTCTTTTGTCAGAAGCGCAAAGTCTTCCTATCATGAATTAGCCTTGTTTGTGAAAGGTCAGTTTAGTTCAGCCATAGACAATGCTGTATACTTGTATAGACTGATACCCACTGTTACACAAAATGCAGGCTTATTTATCTTGTATTAGTCATTGGTGTAAAAGAACAAAAAACTACCAATACCTGATTTTCAGTAAAAGATAGCCTTATAGGAAGCAAAGCATGACATGGAAACTCAAGAAAGTAAGAATTTAATCAAAGTGGAGAAGCAGTGTCAGTCATTTATTGATTTGCTTTTAGGTATGAAATTTTGTGATGCAAATACTTCTTACGTTTCTATTATTTATGCTGTTTTGAATACCTGCGTTTTTATAGATACTGTATAGTCTATTTCAAATTCAGTTTTGTTACACTATAGTAATATTCATTTAGGTTTGTGAGAAATTCTGAAAATATGTCTTCGCCATCAAAAACGTTGCAAAAAATTCAGAAGACCAAGTCAAGGAAACTGCGTCAATACAACTGCACATATTTGAAATATGGTTTTACAACAGCTCCACACGATGCTTCTCGACCAATGTGCATTGTGTGTGGTTCTATCTTTTCTAATGAGGCAATGAAACCGAGTCGACTTCAGGACCATCTCCACGGAATGCATCCAAATAAAATTAGCAGTGACTTTAAAAAGCTTCGGGATGAAAAGGCAAAGCAAACCACCATTCGATCTCATTTCAGACAGCCAGATGATCGACAGCAATGTGGCTTAATTGCGTCATTTAATATATCTAAACTAATTGCAAAGACGGCAAAGCCACACACTATAGGTGAAGATCTAGTGTTGCCAGCTGCAAAAGAAATCATTGAAACAGTTATGAAACAGAATTCTTCTTCGGTTTTGCGTGCTGTTCCTTTGAGTAATAATACAGTTCAACGACGTATTGATGAAATGAGCTCCGATGTGTTAAAACAGCTAGTAGAAATCCTCTCCGTAACCAAACATTCACTGCAAATAGACGAATCCACCTTGAGTAATAACGAGTCACTACTGTTGGGCTATGTGCGATTTATACATAATCTGCAGGCCCAAGAAGAAATGCTTTTTGCCATCGATCTCCCTGCTGATACTCGAGCAATGACTGTCTTTACTGCAGTGGAGAGATTTTACAACGATAAGAAGATACCACTGCAAAATATATTGCAATGTGCAACCGATGGCGCTGCTGCAATGGTTGGCAAACATAGGGGCTTCATTGCGCTTATGAGAAGAAAAATACCTGGACTGATTGCCACTCACTGCGTCATCCATCGGCAGCATTTGGTCGCTCGTAATCTTAGTGCAGAACTGCACGACTCTTTGCATATTGCGATAAAATGTATAAACAAAATTAAGGCTAATTCACTTAATGATAGGCTTTTCCGTGCCCTTTGTCACGACAACGAAGAAGATTTTGAATGTCTTTTATTACATACCGCAGTACGATGGCTTTCTAAAGGTGCATGTATGACTCGATTTTACTCCCTCTACGATTCAGTGGTCGAATTTCTTTCCGGTGTCGATTTTCAATTGGCCGAATCCTTGATACCATTAAAAAATGATATCGCATACTTGGCGGACATTTTCAGTTTCATGAATGAAGTAAACAAAAAACTTCAGGGTGAAATGATAACACTTATCAGATGCAAAAGTGTTCTAACGTCATTCATATCAAAGCTTTCATTATACAAGGACAATATGGGGCGGAATACTTTGTCACAATTTCCAAATCTATGCGAGAATAATGTAACAGAAAATGAACGACTCAAATACTGTGCTCATTTACAAAACCTAGTGGAGGATATGAACATTCGCTTTGAAGACCTCATCAGTCTAACGGTGCCGCGCTGGATAGTACAACCATTTTCTGCCGAACCGGCTGATCTGAAAGTCGAACTTCAAGATCAATTCATCGACTTACTACATGATGAGAAATCGAAGATGGATTTTACCGATGATCGATATGATGTCTTTTGGTGCAGGTCATCGAGCAAGTACCCGACAATTTTTGAGGAGGTAGAACCCTGGATTCTTTCGTTTCCTACGTCTTATATGGTGGAAAAGGGGTTTTCAGCCGTGACACTATTGCTGTCAAAACAACGGAATCACTAAACGGGGTGATTTGAGATTGTTTCTGACAAAAATGTCACCCAAAATTAAAAAACTCGCTGAAGAGCACCAAGCTCACCCATCACATTAAAAACACTTTGAACCATGATTTTTCTTTTTTCGTTTCTTTGGTCTGTAATATATTCGTTTCTGACTCAACGTTTTTTTTGTTGTGTCGGGGGGCGATGAAGTTGTATAAAGTACTGTAGGGGGGCGATGACAAAAAAAGTTTGGGAACCACTGCATTAAACGACACAAGGAAATAAGTCGGTCGAAGCAGGAAGGCAACGGCTTTTCACGTTTAAATATTTGATAAAGTTCTGGAAAGTGCGGTGTACTTGCAGTAGTATATACTATCAATATTATTGTATAAGTATAAATATATGCGAAAGCGTGTTCGTATCCTGACTCTTTCAGTCTATTTAGCGTCAGGTAACTGGGTAGGGCAAATCTAATTCTTGTGTGGGCTATTGAATTAAAATTTTGATGACGTTTGAATATCCCGGAGTACTTGCAGTAGTATGGGTACTATCACTATTATGTAGAAGTATAGATATATACTGAAGGTGACTGTACATTTGAACCCATACATTTGGACCCTTATATCCGCGGGTTCAATCTATATGCGGGTGCTAAGAGTGTTAGTATATGGGTTCAAATATCCGTAAAAAAATTTCCATAGGTGCAACAGTATGCAGGTGCAATTATCGTGGGTTCAAATTACGGGTTCAAATGTACGTGGGTTCAGATGTAATGGAACAATACCGAAGAAATCCGCACTTTGTCAGTGTATATAGAGTCAAGTAACAGAGTAGGGCAAATCCAATACTTGTATGGCTTATAAAATTTAAATTTTAGAAAGCGCGACGCACTTGCAGTAGTACGTAATATCAATATTATTGTATAAGTATTTATATATATATACAAAAGTATTTTCGATCCCGGCTTTTCAATTTAATTTGAGTGAAGTAACAGGGCAGGGCAAATCTAATACTTGTATGACTCATTAAATTTAAAATTTGATAAAGTTCGATAAGCGCGGAATTCTTGCAGTGGGTGTGATGTACTATCAAATATGATTTCAATAAAAATATGTGGAAATGCGGGTTCGAATCCAGGATGCAAGATTCATAGTAAGGGATGCTACATGCAGTACTTTTCTAAGATTTATATTTGTGTTGTTTGACAGATTTGATAATTTTATAAGGAGGGGGGCTATACGTGCGCAAGTGGAAACTGTGGATTACTCACGATGCGCTATCACAGTGGTTCCCAACTTTTTCTGTCTCGGGGGCCCGTTTTGGAGGCTTTTAGCACTCATGACCCCCTGTATATCATTCCAGTAGTATTTTGCTTGGTAGATCCCGAATACCATTATGTTCAAACAATCCAGGCTCAACAAAGGAAAACACCCTGTGAAATAACCTTATCAATAAATGAAACTGGGAAGAACAGGGAGTTTTCTAGTAAAAGTAAAAACAGTTCTGCACCTTGAATGGTTGGCCCACTCCAACTGCTCTGTGGCCCCTTCGGTGGGCCCTCGGTGGGCCACGGGCCTCCGGTTGGGGACTACTGCGCTATCAGTTTATATTCGTAAAAACGCGGATTCGAATCCCGAATTGCTTACTAAATTAAGGAATTAAACACAGTTGGGTGTGCTGAAAGTTCTTTTAAACCTATAAATTGTGTTATTGTATATGATAAAGTATGCGCGACCACAGAATGCAGATATTTGTAGAGGGCACGACATCCTATCAATTGTCGCATTTATATATAAATACGTAGAAACGCAGATTCAAGTTTCTATATGAAACAGAGTAGGCTACATTGAGAGACACAGGTTTTTCAAAATCTAATATATATTTGTGCGACTTTACATATTTACAATTTGTGGGAAGTGATATACAGTGCGCAAAATGAGAACATTAGTCGCAGGCATTATGTCCTGTCAATTACCGTATATGGATATGAATATGTAGAAATACGGAAAATGTAAATATCTCTATTTGCCTATATATGAATGTATGAAAGGTAGGATGAAAACAATTTTAAAATCTGATAATGATGTAAATGTAATTGATGAAGTTTTGGAAGATACTAAACTTGCACAAGTGATATTAGTAGACACTATGTCCGGCGCTCCAGAAGTGTATGTACCAATATGGAGGTAACTAATTTTTTTGGCCTACTTTACATCAAATTGTGTAAACTGCAACTGATGGGCAGCGGGAATATTTACTTGAGTAATACAGACAATCCCAGAACTCGTAATAGAACTAAAATGAGGAAAATCTAAATAAAATTATGGCCTAACCCTAACCCGGTACACATACTATGGGAGTATCCAATGTCCTACCAATTAGCGTATTTTAGATATGTACAAACGTGAGTGCATGATTGCCCGATTTACTTGGGTTGTAAGTAACAAGATAATCAAACCTGATACTCGTGTGGATTACAGGTCTCATAATTTTGTGAGATTATGTGTAATCCTAAACAGGCGCAGATGCAAGACACGAAGCATTTGTTGCAGGCAGGGTTTCATATTAATTATCTTATAAATATGTAGGAACAAGGTTATTCATACGACTCCATATGTTCATATATAAAATTAGAGGGGGCGGTATTTATTTTATTTCATGTATTGCACAATAAACAAACATATTAAAATACCGGCACTCCAGAAGTGTGTGTACCAATATGGAGGTAACTAATTGTGTTCGCCTACTTTACATCAAGTTTTCCAAAGGGACTGAAACTTATGGGCAGGAGGTAATAGAACTAAAATAAGGAAAATCGAAATAAAATTATGGTCTAACCCTCACCTGGTACACGAACTACGGGAGTACCAAAATACCAAATATATACTCCGAGCATTTATTCAAGCTTTAAATTACCTGTTTTCTAGATTTAACCAAAGCGAAGCTGTCAAAAACACTATCGGTCTCTTTATTTCAATAATTTAATCTTCAATGCAGAGCAGCATTATTTTACTACTGACATGGACAAATTTTGATGTTTTAGCTAAAATAGCTCAAGGAATTTGTTGAGATTGCGATAAAATTTAGTTTTGGCACGAGGCTCATTGTTTTCCACTTTTGCTTTTGTAACACTGTAGATATTGTCATAATAATGTAACTTTTTATGTCATACTTACTTGGCCCGCAAATCTAGGTGGGCAAAATTCTTGGTCCCTGTTTCAAAAACCTTGCCAATCACTGCTCTAGCCTTACAGCACTGCGCCGACATTGGCAGCCTAGAGCATAAAATCTCAAACTGCTCCATACAAAGCCCCAGGTCTCCATGAGAGATACCTAGGTGCTCCGCGAGCAATCGTCTGCTTATTGACATACTGACTTGGCTAATTTTGTAACCGTCTAAAGAAGCAAAAAACAGCTTTGATAAACAATATTACCCGCCCACACACGATTGGATATGCAACGACGACATAGTAAGCACCAACTGACTAGATTACATCAACATATAGGCTGCTATTCGCCCCCAAGTGTGATATATAGATGAATGTAAGAAAATCTATAAGGAAGTATTCTTGCCGTTACTATTACAAATAATGTGGAATTAACTGTTGATTACTTTTTCAAGTTTTTTTGAAATGGTAGTAAAATCCTAGAATAAAGTAGAGTCGTATTGTGGTTGATCAAAAAAATGATGAAAATGCAATTTTTGATGAAGTGCGACTAAATTACTATTGAAATTACGTCAAAATTCCGGTTATTTTTACCATCTTTTAAAATTTATGTAAATTAGGAATGACGCCTTAAGAATTTGCTGGTGTGCATTAAACGACACAAGGAAATAAGTCGGTCGAAGCAGGAAGGCAACGGCTTTACACATTTAGATATTTGATAAAGTTCTGGAAAGTGCGGTGTACTTGCAGTAGTATATACTATCAATATTATTGTATAAGTATAAATATATGCGAAAGCGTGTTCGTATCCTGACTCTTTCAGTCTATTTAGCGTCAAGCAACTGGGCAGGGCAAATCTAATTCTTGTGTGGGCTATTGAGTTAGAATTTTGATGACGTTTGAATATCCCGGAGTACTTGCAGTAGTATGGGTACTATCACTATTATGTATAAGTATAGATATATACTGAAGGTGACTGTACATTTGAACCCATACATTTGGACCCTTATATCCGCGGGTTCAATCTATATGCGGGTGCTAAGAGTGTTAGTATATGGGTTCAAATATCCGTAAAAAAATTCCCATAGGTGCAACAGTATGCAGGTGCAATTATCGTGGGTGGGTTCAAATGTACGTGGGTTCAGATGTAATAGATCAATACCGAAGAAATCCGCACTTTGTCAGTGTATATAGAGTCAAGTAACAGAGCAGGGCAAATCCAATACTTGTATGGCTTATAAAATTTAAATTTTAGAAAGCGCGACGCACTTGCAGTAGTAGGTAATATCAATATTATTGTATAAGTATTTATATATAAATACAAAAGTATTTTCGATCCTGGCTTTTCAATTTAATTTGAGTGAAGTAACAGGGCAGGGCAAATCTAATACTTGTATGACTCATTAAATTTAAAATTTGATAAAGTTCGATAAGCGCGGAATTCTTGCAGTGGGTGTGATGTACTATCAAATATGATTTCAATAAAAATATGTGGAAATGCGGGTTCGAATCAAGGATGCAAGATTCATAGTAAGGGATGCTACATGCAGTACTTTTCTAAGATTTATATTTGTGTTGTTTGACAGATTTGATAATTGTATAAGGAGGGTGGGCTATACGTGCGCAAGTGGAAAATGTGGATTACTCACGATGCGCTATCACAGTGGTTCCCAACCTTTTCTGTCTCGTGGGGCCCGTTTCGTAGGCTTTTAGCACTCATGGCCCCCTGTATATCATTCCAGTGGTATTTTGCTTGGTAGATTCCGAATACCATTATGTTCAAACAATCCAGGCTCAACAAAGGAAAACATCCTGCGAAATAACCTTATCAATAAATGAAACTGGGAAGAACGGG